TGCCTTCCCCACAGCCGTGGGAGAAACTTCACACAACACCCACAAACCGGCCCGCGATTCTCCTGCTAATTCTGCCTCTGCCACACCTACAGTCCTCCAGGAGGTTTCGGTGGTGAAGGGGCCAAGTTTGAACCTGCCTCAAATTCTCTCCTATCGCTCTGTTATCTCTCACCACGGAGGGGGAACATCTCCTTGTTCTGCGCCTGAGCACAGCCCAGCCCTGCTCACTGCTGACTTTCAGCAAGCAATGCAGCAGCAATTCACCATTTCTAACTAGTCGGATGAAGGCAGTGGGGCAAGTGATGCTTGCAGGCGGTCACACGCGAGTCACGCACCTGGGGAAGCACAAGAGGTTTTGCTGAGCCCAATCTCCTGCTTTCAGCAGAGGATGTTTGAGGCTCCATTTGCCGTCCAGCGTGCGGTTCTGCACACACACAGCTGGAGGAGGGGAGCCGGCCTGACAACTGCGCTGATTAGCTGGTGCCCTGAAGAATGACGTTTGATTACCTTTATCTTCGGCTGCAGAACTGCAAATGTCACTAATGGTCATAAAATCACCCAGTCTTTTTCAAAACACAACCGAAGTAAATTAATCTATTGAGCACGGTTTATTCAATACTTCTTACTCTGGCAGAACTCCCAACAAAATCATTTGCTTGCTGCATGTCTCCACCATATGGTGTCATTCAATGCAGACTTTCTTTTCTCTGCTGAAATCCCACATTTAATGGAGCCGAGTCACCTACCGAGCTCTTCCAGCTCGAACCTACTAACACAGTTTTCTGTCAAAGAGGTCACATGGCACTCTGTGTTTTGGTGCATTAACCAACACCAGCATGAATTCTCCTTTCATAATTAAAATCAAACTCCTCTGCTCTTTGCAGACTTCAAGGAAGCACTCTGCCCTGTGCAGGGGATTGCTGATGCCTGCCGCTTTGTCTCCCCTCCAGCGGTGCAGTACTTGGAAACCTCCTCCAGTTGTTGATATACTGCACTCCCTGCACATCGTTTCCCATAAAACCATCGCACAAACAGTAAATAAATGAAAAATGTGTGATGTGCAACTCTGCTTGGAAACTAGAGCAGCGGAGCACTGCTAAAGCTTTGGAAAATGTTTTGTTTTAATGGAGTCAGTTTGGTACAGCCTCCATGTCAGACAAGAGGCAAAGGGAAAATTCTGAGGACAAGGTACGCCTACAGCAGGCAACGATACTTGCTGCTTTTATTAAAAATGGGAGCTTAAGGCCAGGAGGAAGACGTTTGACTACACGTTCTGCTATGTCGGTACTGCATTCCCTGCACAACATCTGCCTGGTGTCATCCAAGCGCTCCATGACTCAGTTTCCTCAGCTGTACAATGGGCCACGCTTTGACAGACCTGCTTTTGATGCAGTGATGTCATCTTCAGTCAACAGCTTTAGAAAAACTTAGGTCATTCCCCAGCCCTGTTATCCATCAGTTACATACCATCTCACTTGGTGAAGACAAGCCGCAAGCTCTGCTTCGCACAGTACTTCCAGAGCTTTTGAAGGCTGCTTACCCTTTCATGTAACATCTCCCTTCACCCTTGCTGTGAGCCCAGCACACGTGCTGCTCAACCGAGCCAAAGCCTTCAGCACCACGCATCTCTCGTGCTATGCATTTTTATGGCTCAAGTTTCCCTCCGTGCTCCACCTATGACCTTCCAGCATCCCTGCCTCACAGCTGTGAGAAATGCTGGTATGCTCTGCAGAACAAGACACTTCCCCTCTGCACTTACTCAGTTGGATGAGCACTGAAATAATTTAAACATCAGCATTAACCCTATTATCACTGGAGCAGGAGCAAGCAGAACTGAAGAGGGTTTCAGTGCTTACCAGTGCAATCGTGATGGGTCAGAAACATGCTCATGGGCAGCTCAGATGGCAAGCAGTGCGTTGTTATGTCAGGCTGTCTGGATCAGTTCTGACTGCTGCTCCATACCCCCCGGGCAGCAGAGCTGTCCTGGATGTATGTGCTGATGTTCCAGAGTTTCTGCCACTGAGGGTTATTCAGTTTTAGGGAAAGTTGAGACTCCAGAGAGCTGGTAACAGAGCTCCCCAGCTTGCCGCCCAGCCCAGCCAGTCCATGGTCTGAGAGGCTGCTGCTTCAAAACAACTCCCAGAAATGGAAAATAGACTAGGAAGCATTAAAATGCTGCACCAAATAACACAAGCACTGGAAAACACCCAGTCCACCCTCCCCATGCACAAAAACACTCACTTAACAACAGCCAGATCCCAGACTACACCAGTTTATCAGGAATCACAAAGCAGAAGAGCAGATTTGGCTGATAGCAGCTGCAGGCCAAATGCGTCCCACAAAGCACGGTGCTGCTGGAGGCAGCTGCCTTCATCTCCACAGCAGATGTCCATCCTGTGATGGCTTTGGTGCCTGGTGTGACAAGCTCCATCATCACCTGATCTAAAATAGAGCAGGTCTCACAGACTTTATCTCAATCTCTTTCTCTGTGGTACAGCAGGTGGGGATGCAGCCAGAATTAACTCAGCAAAGATGAGGAGCTGCCTTTGCTGTTCTCACTTATGCCTCCTCCTGTGCATTAATCCAGCTTGAATCCAGAGGGCTTCTGGACAAAACACAGCTTTGCCCTACAGAAGTTCTTTCTCTCAGTCTGGGCTCTCTGCACACGCTGCACCCCAGTAGCAGCTCCCCAACCACCACAGCTGTTTCCCACCCCTCTGTTGATGCCCACTCATTCTTTCCTGACAGTCCTTGATGGACTCCACCAGCACCATCCCGTTCCACCCCAAATACTGCAGCATCCAGCACCCAAGTCTACAATTCAGCCTCACCCTAACATGATGCAGGCAACACTTCACCATCACCACACATTTGTCTCCCAGTAATGCCCTCTGTCCTTACCAAAACCTTTGCAGTGAGGCTCCAATTCCTCTCCTCAATGAACCCTGCTCCCCATCAAATAATTTGTTTCTACACTTGAGCATTCCTCTCCTCCCTAGATCATCTCTTTCTCTCACTAGCACCAAAACTCCTCCATTCCTTTCCATGGTGAGTCTTCTCTCTTCAGCCCACGCTATCCCCATTTCCCCAGCCCATGGCAGAAAACCCAAGAGCAGCCAAATCCCAGCAGCCTATCCTAGCCAGCCAACAGTGACTGGCACAGCACAGTGATTCCCCAAACTGTTCATCCCACCCAGGTCTCTCCCAGTCCCCAGGTAATGTCTCAGCTCTATCCATGCCCAAACCCCCAGCTCCTACACCCAGGCTTCTCTGCCAAGACTGAGCTCCCCTTTTAAGGCCATTTATCAACAGCCCTTCCAACTCTGCAAGCTCTCCTGGAGCTCCCCCGACTTTTGCAGCTGACTTTCGCACAGAATGGATGGGTTGGAATGGATCTCAAAGCTCCCCCAAGGCCCCATCCAAGCTGGCCTCCAGGGATGGGGAACGCACATCTTCTGGGGGAAGGTATCCCCACAGCCTTCTCTTCTCCAGGCTGAACACACCCAGCCCCTCAGCCCGTCTCCATAGGACGAGTGCTCCAGCCCTCTGAGCATCCTTGTGGTCTGCTCTGGACCCCCTCCAACAGCTCCATGTCTTGTGCTGGGGTCACCACCACTATCACCACCACCTCTTCCCCCTGGCTGCCCCGTCCATGGTCTTTCCACGCAGATGCCCCCAGGCTCTCCCCAGCACTCCGTGTTTGAACGCTGCCCCCATCATTGCCAGGTCCTTTCTGTCAATCCTCCCTTCCGCCTCTCCTCGGGCCAAGCGGGCCTCTGCGGCTCTGCTTCCCTCCCGCATCGAGGATCCACCAATCCCCATGCAAACACAGCCCCCAGGACCCGATCCTCGGGCCGGACACCCCAAATTAACACCACTCCAAAGCCGAGCGATCTCCTCCGACATGGCCCACGCGGCCCCCCCCCGGGCCTCCCGATGGGCACCCCGGCACCCCCGACGCCCCGATCTCCCGCCGGACCCCCGCAGGGCCCCGATCTCCCGCCGGGCCCGGCCCGCCGCCCCCGCCCCGCTCACCATCCTCTGCGCGGCAGCGGGGTTACCATGGGCAACTGCGTCACACACACGCCGCCGCTACGTCCCGCGTCACCGCTTCCCGCCGGACGTACGGAACGCGCTCACGGCCCGCGGGAGGGGGCGGAGCCCATTCCAGCTCCGCTCCCATCCACAGAGCGCTCGCTCCCCTCCCGCCGGGAGGTGGGCGCGGCCTCTCGGCTCGTTCTGATTGGCTGAAGGCGGCCACGCGGCGCGCCGAGGGTCTGTGGGCCGCGCAGGTAGGGCCACGTGGGGTTGGGGCGCGCGGGTTGAGTGGGGCTGCAAGGGTGGTGTGATGAGTTGCTGCGCGATGCAATGCGGAGCAGTGCTATGCACAGCAGTGCTATGCACGTCACGAGGTCTCTGTGCGGCTCTACGGATGTGCAGTCAGCGGTGCGCTGCGAGGCGGTGTCAAGGGGGGGGGAGTGTGACATAGCACCGTTGGAAGCATGCAGTGCTGATGGGGTGCAGGGTAGCGTAACGTGGAGCATGCCGTGGGGGTGTGTGCAGTGGTCAGGGTGCAGTGCAGTGTAGTGCAGTGCAGTGCCGTGGGGGGGTGCACTATGTTGTTGAGCTGCCTGTAAGGCTGTGCAGTGCGGGCATCGGAGGGTGCAATGCCACGAGAGGTGCAGGAGGTGCTCTGAGGCTTGCAGTGTGGGCATGAGAGGGTGCAATGTACTACCAGCGACCTGCAGTGCTGCAGGGACACGGAGCATAGTGCAGTACCGCGGGGATGAGTGTGCACGTGGAGGGTATGCCGTGCAGTGACCCAGATGGAAACACTTGCAGGGCAGTGTGATGCAGTCCCACTGAGGGCTGCCTCGTGCAGGGAGAATGCAGTGCATTGCAGCAGCACTGTTGGAGGCCGTTGGTGGCAGTGCCTTGGGTACAGGGCAGCTGAAAGTCCAACCCAGACGTTAAATATAAACCCACAGTAGTTCACCCAGTGCAACGCTCCACGGCAACGCAGCACTATCCCGAAATGGCTGCTGTGCCCCTCGGCTTCGACATTGACGCCCCGCGCTGGGACCAGAGCACCTTCGTGGGGCGGCTGTGGCACTTCTTCAACATCACTGACCCGCGCACCGTGCTGGTGCCGGAGCGGGAGCTGGACCGGGCACAGGCCGTGGTGGCAGGCTGCAGGTGAGTGTGTGCTGGTGGCACCGGCGCGGTGCTGGAGGTGTGCCTGTCTCCTGCCCGAGTGCTGGTGCAGCATCTGAGCACCCTGATCGATCTGTAGATGTCTCTGTTCATTGCAGGGGAGTTGGACTAGATGACCTTTAAGGGGCCCTTCTAACTCAAACAATTCTGTGGTCCGTCAGAGATGATTTTGTGGATGCTTATTGGGGATGTTTATTTCTGGGAGCCCTGAGCTATCATGGCTGAACTCCCGCGGCTCCGGGCTTGCAGGGCTGGGATGGTACCGCCGGGGAGCAGCCAGGAGCAGCTGCTGTATGCCAAGAAGCTGTACGACTCGGCCTTCCACCCCGACAGCGGTGAGAAGATGAACCTCATTGGCAGGATGTCCTTCCAGGTGCCAGGTGGCATGGCCATCACTGGCTGCATGTTGCAGTTCTACCGGTGAGAGCTGGGGACACAAGTTGGGACACAGCCCGGACAGCCCTCAGCTCTTCCAGGGGCACTAATGTCTATCCTTGGTATCCCTGAGACAGTGCTAGGAGCCCAGGAGTGGGTCACCCTCAGATACCTCTGTCCTCATGTGCTTGCTGCTCCCATCACTGAGGGCCTACCTCAGCCCTGGATCTCATCCCCATCCCAAACCCCTCAGGGCTGTGCCACCTCCTGTGCTGTCTGCAGTACCCTCTCAGACACATTTCATTTCCCAGCCCTGCCCCTGCCACACTCCTGACCTCAGGCTGCAGTGCCTCAGTTTCCCCCGGCAGACACCAGGACAAGGGTATGGAGGGCATCTTGTCTGTCCCCTGATGGCCCCCGGGCACTCTCCGTGCCCTTTCCCTCTGCAGGACAGTGCCGGCTGTGGTGTTCTGGCAGTGGGTGAACCAGTCCTTCAATGCCATTGTCAACTACACCAACCGCAATGCTGCGTCCCCCATCTCTCTGGCGTGAGTGTGCCCCCGGGATGGGACCCCTGATGCCTGTGGGATGTGCCAAAAAGATGTTCAGGCACCAAAAGAGCAGGATCTCTGTGTCAAAGACAGCGTTTTGTTTTATATTCCCATGCATCTGTTGCAAATCACCAGGCAAATAGGAGTGGCTTACGTCACGGCCACCACGACAGCCCTGGCCACTGCTGTGGGACTCAACCTCTACACCAAGGTATGTAGAGACGGGGTTGCAGCAGCATCTGGCCACATCCTATCCCCATGCTGATCCCATCCTCCATCTTGCAGCGTGCTCCTCCCTTGCTTGCCCGTTGGGTCCCTTTTGCAGCTGTAGCTGCTGCCAACTGCGTGAACATCCCAATGATGAGGCAGCAGTGAGTGCACCTGGGGTCTGCCTCCACTCCCCGGCCCCGAGGGAGGACGGAGGAGGTGGGATGGGTTCTGTGTGATCACCACCCTGCGTCTGGGAGAGGATCTCTGGTGGGATGGCCCAGCATCAACAAAGCAGGAGGGCGGTTTTGGGGTGAAGATGTCCATTTTGGAGTCTTTGATGTCCTGGTGCTGAGGGAGGTTGTTGGAGCTGAAGGAGTTTTGAAGTGTTCCACGGGGTGGGGGTCCCTGTGTCAGCCATACCCTGAAGGTGGCAGCATCAGCCCAGGGGTGGCACAGCCCAGGGCCACTGTGTTGCTGTTCCCACAGGGAGATCATCCATGGGATATCAGTGACTGATGAGGACAACAATGAGCTTGGGCACTCCAGGGTGAGTGTTCTGGGAGGGAGAGCAGACATGGTAATGGGGACATGTGTACAGCAGCAATTTACAGCAGAGTCATTTTTCCTTGCAGAGAGCAGCAGTGAAAGGCATTGCGCAGGTTGTGGTCTCCAGGATCACTATGGCAGCTCCAGGCATGAGTGAGTGCGGCATGAGGATGGGGGCCAGATCCACACTGCAACCCTGCAGCTCCCAGTTTGGCCAGAGCTGATGGAGCTGCATGGGCTGGTGGAGTCCTTCACTCTTCTCCCCACATGCAGTCATTCTGCCCATCATCATGGAGCGGCTGGAGATGTTCCCCTTCATGCAGGTGAGCTCCTGCTGCTGCTCTGGGCATGGGATTGTGGCAGTCAGCTGGGGACTGACCCTGCTCATCCCTTGCAGAGGATCCGGGTTCTCCACGGGCCGCTGCAGGTGCTGCTGTGTGGTGGGTTGTGAGTATCTCAAAAAAACGTGGATCCGGAGGATGCCTGAAGTCACCCTGGAAAAAGACCCCACCCAGCAGAGATGGCAAAACTGCTTTCCTTCCAACCTGAGCTCTGTTAAATTGGGTCCTGGGCTGGGACCTTGCAGCTCGGGTTATGCAGCCCCAGTGCTAACACCCACTCTCCTTTGCCCACAGCCTGCTGTTCATGGTGCCGGCAGCCTGTGCCCTGTTCCCTCAGAGATGGTACCTGTCCATGGCTTTCCATGGGAGCCTTTCTCTTTCCCTTACTCCCCACAGCCCGTCCTGATGGGCTCCCAAGAGGAACAGGATGATGGCCTCAATGTCTGTCCCCTCTCCCCACAGCTCTCTTGCGCTGGCTGACCTTGAGCCGGAGCTGCGGGACAGCATCGTGACCAAGCACGGGGACAAAGTGCCATTTGTCTACTTTAACAAAGGGCTGTGAATAGAGGCTACCTTGGGAGCCATTGAAGCCCTCCAGCCCCCAACACTGCCAGCCCTGTGCCAGTGCAGGGCTTGGATGCATGGTGCAGCCCCCATTAACCCAGTCTGGGAGTGGAGCTGGGATCATCTCCCATTTCCCCCACCCCAAACCACATTGCTGCCTTAAACTGCTGCAGGGGCCTCTTTGCAAGAGCTGGAGCCTCCACAGTGAGTGGGAAAGACTTGTCCCCTGTGTAGGGGAACACATCAAAGTCCTGGGACCAGTGCTAGGACTGTGCCTTCCTTGCTCTCTGGTTCAGATCTTATTCACTTTGCGATTGTCACAATCCCAAAGACAAATAGCTAATTGTTTATAAGCTCTGAATTTTGCAATCAGCTCATTGCATTGAGTATGACAGCCAGGCATCACCTTGCCATTTTGTGCCTCACTGTTCCTGTGGTAGGACCAAGGACTTGGGAAACACTTGATTCTGGCCCCTCTCACACGGGGAGGGTCACTAAGCCATTGGGTTTTGAACTAAGGCTTTAAATGACAGAGATGGGGGTTGGCAAATAAAACATGGTGATTTTTAAAACAGCCGTGGGCTTTGCTTTTAGCTGGTCTTTGGGTGCCTGCTTCCCTGGACAGGGCTGGTACATAGGTCATACCTGCCTTGGAAAAAGGGAAGGTGTGGGCTCTGTGCTTGCATCTGAAACAAACCATGTCCCTCTGGTTGAGTGCCATAGGAAGACATCACTGCTCTCTGAACTCCTACATTGTGATTGCTCCTGTCCTACAGCCCAAATTTCTGTGAGCACATTCAGGAAGGTACATTCAGCAACCTGGAATGGAGCTGGTTCCAAGGAGTGTTCAGTGTGCTTGCAAATGCAGAGACAGTTATAATGCAAAGTCCCACAGAAAGCATGCTTTGGAGAGCTGTTGCTACCTCCTGCCCTCTCCTCTTAGTCCTGGGCAGCAGGATGGGGTGCACACAATGCACTGGGCAAGAAGAGGGTTGGTCTGTGCTGGGGCGAGTATGAGGCTGACCAGCACTGTCCTCAAGCCAGAAACCACCAAGCTGATAGCAATGGATTCGCTCTTCAGACCTGCACAGGTTGATGCTGGCCAAGAGCAGCACAGCAGGGTGTCTAGGTTTTTAAGCTGCAGCGGGAGCCTCCACGGGAGGATTCCTGACATCTCTGCCACTCACAGCTCCAGAACAATGTGGAGGGCGGCAGGTGGTTGCAGACTGTGTTCCTGTGCTGCCAGATTCCATCCAGATCGGCTCTGCATCACACTGCTGCAATAGGAAGGAAACTTCACTGCCAGAAGTCAGTGCCGGACTCAGCCCTATTTGTGAAGAGCTGCGGATGTTAATTACACTCCAGTGATGAGTCACTCCCAATCTGGGCTTGTCCCATGCTCTGGCTTTTGCCTCCTTCCTACTTGTAATTTCAGGGCAGGATTGGAAAAGGAGTGAAGCTCTGCATGGCTGAAATGGTGCTGCAGCATGTTTACAACCTTCTTTTAATAACAACCAGACCAAAGACATTCTGTTGGGCTGCAGCAGGGCTGGTGAGTCAGAGAAGACCAAAATTTCTTTCGATGAATGATCAGCAGCCCCAGATCCTTGCCCAAGTGCTGCTGGAGGTGCTTAACCCAAGTTAAGCATGCAGGGTGTGTGCCCAATGGGTTAACTGCTGCCAGCCCACGCTTGCAGGGGTGCAGGGTTAGGTGTGCCCTAAGTATCGCCCTGATTGAAAAATCCCAGGGGCAGGAGATAAGCTGCTCAGTTGATTATTTTTCTTTTCTGAGTATGTTATCAGAGCATCTCACAAGCATCACCGTGCCAATCCCCTGTGGGGGCTGCCTGGCACTCGGATTGGCATGGCACAAAGCCTGCACGCTACCCACGAGCTGTGAGTGATCCCCAAGTGCTGCCACCTGCACCTGGGACAAGCCCAGGCAGGGGATGGCTGTGCTGGGACATGTCTGTGGTGGGACATCCATTCCACGTGCTACTCCTCTCCCATTGTGGCTCCCTACAGCAGCCCCAGCAGCCCTCACCAAGCTGCTGGATTTTGGAGACCCAAGCGTGGCAGTTGGGTACAGCTGACTGGGAGCATAGCACTGCCGCAGCCTGGCACCATGGTGGGGAAGAAGTGGCTTTGCAGTCTGCTGCCCCATCCTCAGGGCCTGGTGTAGGGCTAGCAGCGTTGTTGACATCAGCAGCAGCTGACAGCAAACACTGCTTCTGCCTGCTGCTACTGCGGCCATTTTAGCTGCCATCCTACACACGTTCCCTGGTGAACCCCCAGGCTTGAGTGGGCTGCTTGGCTTTGGGGCTCCCTGTGTGCACTGCAGAGAGGCTGAGCAAGGTTTAAAGCCACCACAAGACATGGCCAGCAGATGGGGACGGGCGCTCTAGGGCCACCAGACAGACCCTGACAGGCGTGAGACAGCCGCTGCACGCCTCGTCGGGGCACAGGCACAAGGGGCAGCGCCCACATCCCCCTTCCAGCCAGTTCCGCCACTCACAACATGGCGGCCATCACACTACTCCGGGCCCCCTCTCCGCAGCGCCACACTCAAGATGGCAGCTCCCTGCAAGCGGACCCCGCCCCTCCCCGTTCTGCCCTGAACGATAGCGTGTCGAGCCAATAGCCGTCCAAATCGCGCGCCGTCTGCCCAGTCAGAGATCGGATGGGGCGGGACGAGGCGCGGGGTGCCCCCTCGGCTCCCGTCCCGGGCCGCAGTCGGGCTGGGGAGGCGGGGAGCGGGGGGTGGGGGGGATGGCGAGGAGGTTTCGCGCCGCCATGGCCCTGATGTTGTTTCAGGCGCTACCCGAGGGGCTGCCCGCCAGCGTGGAGCCCGCCCAGGTAGGAGGCAGCCCGGGGGGCGCCGGTCGGAGGGTTCAGTGTGTGCTGGGGGGTCCTGAGCGACAGCTGGCTGCGAGGGGCGAGGGTTGTCAGCGGGCGAATCGTGGGCTGGGGGCAGCGTCTGGGGGGTCTGCCGAGGTTTGGGACTGAAATGGAGCTGGGGGTGCAGGGAGCGGGGTTTGGGACCGTGCTGGGGCTGGAGGAGCAGCATGGGTCGGGGCTGCTGTAGGCTGCAGGAGGGGCTGCAGAGGGAACGGCAGCCGCGGTGAGGGCACCGGCCTGCGGCGCTGGCAGGTGCGGGTGTCATCTGGGAGGTGACAGGGCAGGGGTGGCTGGCCCAGGGAGCAGGGCTTGCCCGGGCAAAGGAGGTTGGTGTTGCATAGGAAGTGTGGGGTGAGCCTCAGCTTTGGGGAATCATAGAGTCATTAAGGTTGGAAAAGGCCTCTAAGATCATCTAGTCCAACGCATCAGCCCGTCACCACCATGCCCACAAAACCGTGTTCCTCAAGGGAAGGAAGGAGGGAGAGTGTTTCAGCCAGGATGATGGGAAGCAGCCCTTGTCTCTGTAGGCTCTGACTGCCTTCTTCATGCCTATAGGGTTCTGAAGAAGTTCATTCACTCTCCTTCATCACTTTACTCAATACTGTGCCTGTGCTATGATGTTCTCCAGCAGTGTTCTTAGACTGCCCTTTGCAGAATCCATAGACCTTCACCTTGCTCAGTGTTGCTCATAGACAACTGTGCTGGGCCAGGTGTCCCATGCACAACCTGGAACCTGCTGTTCATGCAGTCATTATGTCTTTTTCATTCTCTGCACAGCATAAATTGAGCAGGATGCCTTCAGATTTGATGGTCTGCTTAGGAGGCAGGAACTGCGTTTTGTATTTGTTGAAGATCTAGACCTTCACAGATTATATGAATGAATTTACTGAAGTTCTAAGTCCTCCTGGATACTGATCTGTGCCTGCAGACCACAGGTGCTGTGGTTACTCGGTGTGTAGTTTCTCTGGGACACTGGTGTGGAGTGTTCTTTCTGGGAAAGGCGTCCATTGGAAATCTTTCTGACTTCTGTTGTGAGTAGAGAGGTGTTTGACTACAGATGTTTTAAATCTTATTTTTTCAGGGCACTGGGAGTACCAGACAGACTTTAAAGGCTTTGTAATTAGAATCATAGAAGCATTAAGGTTGGAAATGATCTCTCAGATCATTCAGTCCAACCATCCAATTGGTAGTGCCGTCCGAAATTTTCTTGCTGTGATTTGGCCTTTGCTGCAGTAGAGAGCTGCAAGGTTGTGCTGAACCGTGTGTTTTCCATGCTGTCTCAACTGCCCTGAGCTGATGGAAGTCCCAGCGCTTGCTCTGCTCCACCATCAAACCAACATATACCAACTGAGTGTATATAGGCACAAGGTGTTGTGGTGTTCCAGCTGTGAGCGGCAGCCAGGCGCTAGGATTGTCTAGACAAAAGCTGCGAGGGTCTTCAACCCTATAAATGCTAGTAAGAACAATATACCTGCCTTGAAGGTTGTGAAAGACACTCCCTGTACAGCTTGTGCACTAGTCAAGGAACAGGTAGAGGAAAGGAAATGGAAGTAGAAAAGGAAGAAGAGAAGTATTCATACACGTATCTGACTTGTAGGTATCCTCTCCAATCAGTGCACCAGAAGTAATCCCAAAATAGTAAGTCTTGGGTAGTACAGTACGTGATGGTGAGAGAGAAGAGCTTTGACTGCCTGTGTTTTCTTTGGAGCATTTAGATATGGATGTGTCTCTTACTCGTTTTCTTTTCATAGTTTGTCTATATAAAACTCATGTGGTTTATTTTAGATCTTAGACTGTCTGTCAAAGAGCTGGTATTATCTCACAGCATACTACAGATTGACAGCAACCCACTCAAAAACTGTCGTTTTTGAGTAATGTGGGATATGTATATATATATTTGAATCATGTGTGATCTGGGAAATGAGAATGTAACTAAACTTTGTCTGCTTTCATGTTGCCTTAGAGTATGATTTCCTTGGAGGTGATGCGCTTGTAGTGGTGAGCAGTGCTGGCCTGGGAAGATCTCTGCACCAAGGGTTCCTATGGTTTTAGCTAGACCTCTGACAGCATTCAGCTCTTGGTCTCTGCAGACCATGGCTGCCCTCACTGCCCATGGTGACTGCTGCCTGCTGCCACCTCCATCTCAGACAGTTGCAATGCCCTGCTTGCTTCTGCTGCTGGGTAGGGCTTGTTGAGGGTTTGTGCTTCTCTGAGCTGGAGGTCTGAGGCTGGGAGGTGCTGCAGGAAATGTGTCCTCTAAATAATTCAGGAGGTGGAGCTGTGCTGCCTGGCCACACTGAGCAAACATTGCTGAGAACATGCTGTACTGTGCAGGAGGGTCTGATTTTTTTCAGGTTAAAATAAGTCCAGGCTGCTGAGGATCTTGGAAGACCTTTCTTTTAATGAAGTCTTGTTTTGGGTGGCAGGTGGAAGAGAATGAAGATAATTAGCACAGACCAATCCTGAGTCCAAGTTCTTTACCTGCCCCTGTGACTGTTCATTGCGTGTGTGCTCACCATGGAGCACAAAGCTCCCCGTTAACAAGAATTGGAGCATTTATCTGCAGATTAAGGGAAGATACGTTGCAGTTGTGTAACAAAAATAAGATCAGAGTAAACACAGGAAAAAGAAACCTGGCCATGCCCCGTTATGGCTGCACTTGTATAGCATTAGCTG